TTCTGAAACCTCCTATTTTCATAAATTGTAAATTTTGTATTCTTTCCAGCCCTAAATTCTTGAAACATTTATTTTTCTCTCCCAGCTGAGTATGGGATTATTTGCTGCTTCTTCCGTGGACCTGTTGAAGCGGGTCCAGAGCAGGGCCACAAAAACAACCAGAAGGATGGAACACCTCTCCTATGAAGAAAGGCTGAGAGAGTTGGGGTTGTTCAGCCTAGAGAAGAGAAGGCTTTGGGGAGACCTTATTGCAGCCTATCAGTACTTCAAGGGGGCTTATAAAAAAGATGGCGGCAAACTTTTTAGCAGGGCCTGTAGCGACAGGACAAGGGGGAATGGCTTTAAACTAAAGGGGGGTAGATTTAGACTAGATATAAGGAAGAAATTGATTACGGTGAGGATGGTGAAACACAGGCACAAGTTGCCCAGAGAGGTGGTGGATACCCCATCCCTGGAAACATTCACTTGTCCATCAAGTGAAAGAATACAATTTACTCTTACTCCAGCTGTGAGACTTGGCTGCTCTGCTCCACCACAGTATTGTCTGTAGTCCAGCAGCACATTTCAAACTGCTCATACAAGCAGACATGAGCACAGGTCCCATCTCAAAGATCTTGACTACCAGTGATTACTCTGTCTCAACTAAATGAACACTTTCAGTAAGATCTGTGTCGACAGCATCTTAATTTAGAAATTATGCTGCCAGGTCAACAGACTTTCCAGCCAAAGTAACACTGACATTGCTGATTTCATGATAGCAAGGATTCATTTTAATACAAGTATAGTTTCTACCTTTTCCACACATGGGTATGCTTTCATTTCGTTTGATTTAGACTCTTAGTGCATTGGATAGGCATTGTATGGAGTTCTTTGGAAAATGCTGACAGCATCCAATTTGTGATCATATGATACAAAGTACTTTCTTCAAAAAATACCATTCCTTTTTCATTTCTCCTCCAGATTCTTTAATGTAATTGCTCAGATGGGAAAGGATGCTCTCAACAATACCACTGTGCCAGCTAGGTTCCTCCCTCTGCTTACTACGTACTTCTAAAGCTCTTGTCTTGTAATTCTCATCTGCTGCTGTATGTAAATCAATGACTCTGTGAGTTTGTCTGCAGTAACTGTAAAAGCCCAATGAGCGTTTGCAAGGAGCTGTCTGGAATTAGGATCTTAGTTCTTCCAAGTATTAATTACAGCATATTTAGAAAATAGAAGAACTGAAAGTTGATTATAGTAAACAACTCTGCTGATGCCCATCTCTAGCTGAAAACATCTGTAGTTACATGAACAACTGGCTCACATTAGATGATCAATGAACTGTAAATTCAACACACTTAGTTGATTTTGGGTTTTGTTCCTGTTAACAACTGATTTTTTTTTTTTTTTAACTTAATTCAACAGTCTTTGTTGGCCAATTCCTATGGAATAATATCAAAGCTTGAGAGCCAAAACAGCTAACCTTGTCAACAGCACTTTGGCAGTGTTAAGGGTGAATTTCAACTCACTGTAGAAGTCTAAAAATAAAAGACTTCTTAATGTTGTTTGAAGTTCTACTTCACTGAAGGAGAATTAGCACACAAACCTTATCTTGACTTCTTATATAGGAAAGGCTTTCACACTCAGGGCTTGAGCTATGCCCCTGAGATACCCTGGTAGATCTAACAAAAAACCACAGATGCTTAGAAGTAGTTATTCCTGTATCTGGCTTCTCATTGTCTGCCTTTCCTTAGTAGACTGCTTCATAGCATACACCTCCTTGCTCATGTGGCTGGTTCAGACAGTTTTTTGAGCTCTAAGAATCAATGGACTGGAAATGTTTCTCAGTGCAGCTACAAAGTTTGCAAGAACCTATTAACAGACAGTGCTTTTAATGCATATTACTTATTTATTTAACCATTGTTCCCCACTTGTTTGGTAGGAACTAGAAGTCTTCATTTGCTGGCACGTGTCAGTTGGCCTGATTTTGTTCATAAATGTGAAATGTGACCCTTCCTTCTTTGTATCATCCTAGTAAATGAGTCATGTGAAATAACATTTCTCAGTGCATACACAACTATTCTTTCATTTTTTCGCTTTTTGTTTAGAACTCATAATCCTAGTGACACATACAGGAAATGGACAGTTGCATATGCATCCATGCATATATTTTGACATATGGCTTGGACAGCTGACTACAAATGATGTAGCTTCAGCAATTAGCTACATAGGCTTTGCTCTTTGCTGTCCAGTAACGATATCAGCTACTTCTGCCTGGAATAGTCTTTGAGGAACTGAAGGCTGCAGTGGCTATATCTAGACTCCATAGAAGACTGACAATAAGAAATGATTTAGCGAGAAGAATGTTCTTATCAGAATTTTCATAGAAGTTCTTGAAGACTAAAAAGCATCTTTATTTTAAATTTAAAAACTGATCAAGAACTTTAGAACACGTCTAAATGCTAGATGCTGCCATGTCTAACTTAGGGCTTGCGGAACTAGACACTTTTGCTTCCTTCCTCACAGAAACAAAGGAGTCTGAGGTACACACTTACAAGTGCAGACAGCATACCATGGATTACATATCATGCTGTCATTATTGCCATCTGCTGTCTGTCTTTCCGTCTCTCAGCAAGCCCCGGATAAAGACGCAAAGATGTCTTACCAGCTCTTGAAGAAGCTGTTGAACAGGCACAAGTTGCAGGCCAGTATATTGAGAAAAAACAGAACGAGTGCTGGGCTGTCTTAACAATTTTGAAAATTGTGGTGGTTTTCTGTAGTGGGGTCAGTAACATCCAAGATGGTGCTGGATAAGCTAAGGATAAAAATCACAGCAGCTGTCTCAAGAGAAGTCAACACCAAGTATTAGGCTTCTCAGAATGGAGATCAGAAAAGCTTCGTGCTGACAAGTGAGTGGGGAAACACCCCAACCGATAGCATGGAGCATAATGTATTTGACCTCAAATCCCTTGGATAAATGGCTGGGTTAGGGCTTGGGGAAAGAGCTGGACTGAGTCCATCTGAGGATCTTCTCCTCTCAAAAAATTAAGCAAAGCTCCATTTGCTTTTAAAATTCAACTACTGCAGGTTGTGTTTTGGACTGAACAAAGATGGGTCAAAAAGCAGACCCAAATCTGGGAGAAGGCACTGGACAGTTTCAATCCCACCTTACCAAAACATCACGTAAACCATTGCGTTACAACCAGCCTTATGGGTGCCTCCTCTCTCTGGACGAGTCAGCCTTGAACTTTCTGTGCGCAGGGGAACAGAGTCAATAGGAGAGCGAGAACTTCTGTCCCTATATCCTATTCCCTGCAGTGGTTAGGGGACAGACCACAGATTTTTTTTTTAAAACGGATGTTGCTGTAGTTTAAGTGTAACTATCTCTGTATTTTGTGAGATCCTGGGCCCTGACATTGCATATTATCTGCCAGCTATTGCCAAAAAGGGCCCTAATTAAACTTAAATGAAACAATGCTATGGTTAGGCCAGAGATTAAAAAATTATGTCTTCTGGGCTGAGAGAAAAAGTTGCTGAGGAAGCTTACAGGTCATTTAGGGAAAGATCTCAACAGTTTTGGAGTTTGGTGCTTCAGTTCTAGATACATCCTCCTTGGCAACAGAAAAATACTCTTTTTGTATCCACCTGGTCAACAGAAGCTGTTTATCACTGCCCCCCTCTGCATGGCGGATTTGTGTTATCATTCCTTTGATTGCTGCAGACAAAATCCTTTGGGTTAGCCTAACTGATGATCTAAACTAACCTGACCCATTTTTTCAGAGGTGGATTCTCCATAGGCAAACAGAGCAGTGGAGCAGCCAGCAGCGATAAAATAGTTAGAGACAGCAATGTCTGCCATCAGTGCAACTAGATTTGGGGGAAGACATGCCTCCATGGTTTTACTCCAGTAACTTTCATAAAAATGTGAAAATAACTGAGCAATAACTGTGGGTGTAAGAGCATTTCCCATTACCTGGAAAACTGGATTATTTTATGAGAAAGATCAACAGTTAAGTAAAATAATAACTTAATTATAGTAACATGCCTAAAGGGTTTTAATGTGAAGAGTAGAAATATTTATGAATAAATGAGGTCTTATGGAGAAGAAAAAAAATCTACCATGCCACTGAAATCCATCAGATCATGGGACAGTCTTCTAAGACATGTTGGAGGCCTCAGCTGAAATGGCAAATCAAATTACACAAAATATTTGCTGTGCAAGAGGTTAGTAATCCTCTAGTGGCAGAGTGTCAGACGAAGGGATCTGATTTTCTGAGTCTTCTCTGCCTGATCTCGGTTGTCCCATTGTAGTCTTTTGAGCAGACTGTCATATGAGTAAGCTGCACACCAGAATCAGAAATACAGACTCTACTAAGATGGTAATAATTTGGTATCCTTTCAAACTAAGGACATGATGAATTTTCTTTGCTTCTGATTGCCTTCATATTAAAAATACCTTGATATGGACAAGGCATAGCAGGGGTAGATTTTGGATAAAAGAATAAAAGTAGGTCTTCATCTCGAACGACATGTTTTGTGAGATGATTATACGTCTGACGATATACTGCCCTGTTTTTAGTATGGTGACTAGAAGGCTTCTTGCTTAATTTTATTTGCAAACAGCTGCAAGACTCAGCATGTGAAGAGAAGAACGTCATGGATGAATATTCTGGGCTGGCTGCCCAAAACTTGTTATGATCATTATAAATCCCTCACACAGTATGTGACAGTTTTCCCATCTTCATACGTGATTCTTTGTATAAAAGGAGAGCTGAAAGGGCTATCTTGGAGTATAATTGTGCAACTCCAAGGTAAATAATAAAAAGTCAGCAACAAAATTAGAAACTGATAGACACAGGAAATGACTTCTGGTTTCCTAATGCACTATGAGTAGTGCTATAATAATCAAGCTAGCAAAATTCGAAGCTCTGAAAATAAATCCAGTGGTTAGCGATTCTTAAAATATGAAGCTAAGAGAAAACATGAAACTTTTTCATTCTCACTTCAGAAGTTATCTAAAGCCTGAGCTCTCCGAATGGAGTACATTACCTTGTTAACATTGCTAAATGCATTCCCCTTGGGTACATTATTTGCAAAGAAAAAGATTTTTTGGATTTTGTGTTCTTTGTAATAATCCTCCTAGTGTTTTTAAATGCTCTGTTTTTAAGGCTTCTGCAAACTGTCATACGTAGTCTTCGTTGATGATTATGTTGTTAATATTTATGCTACTTCTTTCAGCGTCCCTGCTGCTGCCTGCACAGTAAAGGCTGCAATGGAAATCTGCCTCTTAACTTCTTCCCAGGCTTCATGTTGATCAGCTTTGTTTTTAATGTCAAACATGGCATCATAGATCCCTGGGAATGATTCTCCTGCATACTTGTTATGGCTGCTTGGAGCAAAGATGACATGTCTGTAGGGAAGTTGAGGGAAAAAAATAACAATATTCTGCATTAGGAAAATAAAACATATTGTTTTCTGAATAAAACTAATCTGTTTCCATATCACCTGTTAAATTCTTGACACTGAAGATGTAAATAAATAAGATTATTGCAGCAATAGTACCTATAATCTATGAAGCAGGAAAATAACATAAGCTAAAGTATTCCATGTGAATTCCAGAACTTTATAGCTAAGAAGACTTGAGATAAAGTTGACTAAAGTATTTTCCTTTCCCTCATTTTAGATGAAATGGAAAGATACAAAAAAGCCAGCTTCTTTTCTCACAGATATACACAATCTCCAACAGATATAGGCATGCTTTGAGGTAGGAAAGCTGATGCTTTAACAAGATACTGTTCTCAACAGATTTTTAATCAGAAGCTATGAGGGGTAAGGACTGTAGATCTTAAGTTCTCTTTCTACAGTTACTTTTTAGCGGAAAGATTACTGTTCTGAATTATGCAGACTGGTAGAAGGACCAAAAAGCTGGACTTGACTTGACTATTCTGCCTCTCAAACAAGATTTACTTCTTGAACTGGATGAGAGAACTACTGAATTCACTTCACTGCTGTTACAAGCACTGCCCTCTACACTGTATTTGCTAGCGTGACTTCTGCTATAATCGATCAAATTGTAGCTACTTCAATTATACCCTGTTTCACTTTCAAATAATAATAACTTCCTAAAGATCCTTTACCACTGAAATTACTTGAACTGAGTCCAGGGCCAAACTTTTAATCTGTTTAGAAGCCCATTGAAATCAATGGAAATGAGTTTACTGACCCGAATAGGCTTCCAGCAAGACTTTTCCTTGTTCTATATAGTGTATCTCACTGAAGTTTTCCCTAATGTTGTTTTCCCTTTTCAATTTTATTTGTGCTGTTTAATCGACTTTTACCATGTTGAATAAAATCATTACAATTCCATTTAAAGACCTGTCAATCTTAAAAGAATTCTCATAGGGCACTCCATGCAGAAACTGAAAAATAAGCCTTTCTTACCTATAGAATGGCCTGCCAGGTAATCCAAGAGGATCAATGAAAGCCCTTTCTAGAAACATGAGCTGATCATTTAGTGATCTGACAGCAATTAGGCTAAAAAGAAAACAGAGGAATATGTTAGCTGTAGTGTTTGGCCCATTCTTATCCCATGCCCCAATGTACACAGCTCTGGATTTATGAAGGACATTAGATTCAAGATGTTGAAGTGTAGCCCACAGAAAACAGCTCATGTCAGCTAACCTGCACAATAGAATTATGCTGATCTGTACTGTGAGACAGTCTGGTTCATAACCTGAAAGTCTCTTAAAGCCGCTTTTAAAGGCCAAGGAATAGTGTCAAAGAAGACAGAGACTTTCAGGTATTTTCTCTCATGTTGCATCTTATTCCTGTATCTCCTGTTCATTAGGATGCTTAGGCAGACCATTATCTTCTTTTGTACCACAGTTTTCTAAAGACCCTATTTTCCACAAAGTCAGCCAGCAGCAAATTACTTCAATAAAATCACATTTATTTTTATGTAAAACCACAACATCTGAGAAACAGGAACCTTGTGATGTTAGAATCGTCTTCTGAATCATCCAAGAATTGTGTTTTTCTGACAGCAGATTGTAAATTCCCTAGAGCAGAGACCATCTGTGTCTGTGTGCTTTGAATAGCTCTGAGCATACTACTGATGCTTAACAAATAAAAGAACTGTGAAGAATATTATACTGAATATATGTGGGTTTGGTAGTTTACATCCAAAGTAACTTATTGTAGCGCTTCAAAGGCACTCACCAAGAAAAAATGGTAAAATTTATATCACTGTAAGCCTGGAGTAACTCTACTACTGTCAATCAAATTGTTTCAAGTTTACATTGGTGTAAATAGAAACTGAAACTGGTTCATTGAATTAAAGCTTAGATTTAGGCCATCCATCAATGAAACCATTTTGAAAACATCACATACATGTCATGTCATAAATGTCATATTTTACGTAAGAAATTATTGTTAAGTCGTTTATCTTGAAAGTTGCTGCCATTAAAAAGATGGCTTTTATTCTCACTTAGTCTTCCATAAGGGTAAGCATATGGCTAAATTAGAAGAAAATTTCCCAAGAAGTGTAACATACACATATGTATATATACAAGGAAGTTTGGTTTCTCATTCTGGGCATGGCCTACAAAGAATAAATTAAGCCAAGTGCAAATTAGGCCTTTTGACATAGGTGGTGCATAGAATTTTGGGAAAGCTCACCAAAAAGCTTGCCACAACTACAATCATGGTACAGCTATTTTTTTTTTCATTAAGTGGTACCAGTATCTTGGAAACTGGCAAACGAAGACCACAAGTCAACATTTGTTCTTTAATGATAATCCAGCAACAAAATCCTAGGATGTGTCTCTACCTGGAGGGAGTTACACACCTGAGCTGGCTCTGCTCATGCTAACCAGCATTCTAGTCACATCCATGTATCATCCTGGCACTGCTCCTCAACTAAAACCTGTCAAAAATTGACACTAATTAGCTTGGACACTTTTTGAAGCTAACATGGCTAGATTCCCAGGCTCTGCAGTGTCTCTGATGTCCACTAATTCAACATTTCTATACTTTGTTTCCTAGAGTAACCAGATCCTTAAAGACAAGAATCCATAAGGACTTATAATGAAACAAATTACTGAGAGTCATTTGTCACCAAGGTTATTCAGGGGACTAAATGCAAGTGAAGATTATGCCCTCTGAGCCCAGAGGACTACATGGAGTATTTGACTGGAAGGAAAAAAGTTAAACTTACTTATTGATATCTACTTGTTGCAGTCTCTCATGAAAGCTAGCAGCAACTTCTGTAAAATTCTTCACAGCTGAAAAGAGAGCATCTGGAGGGAGCAGGAAGGAAGCATTTAACTTCAAATTCTGAAGGAATCATTTAACAAAGCAAATTCTTCAAATTAAAGCTTTATCTTTCACTGTGATCATGATCTGTCAATTCTCACTTAATGAAAATCAGATGACCCCGTATTCCTACACTAAAAACTATGTAATTCTGTGTGAAAACTTGCCTCGGAGACAATAGAAATCAGTATTTTTGTGAATATTGCTTATTGTTTGCTACTTGAAGAATGAACAGAAACAGCAAAAACTAGAGCATGGATTGCCAGAACCAGACTGTTCAGGTAGGTCTGGGATTTTATAAATCCCAACAACCTATGTTTTATTGGTATGTCCCTCCACACACTTTGAGAAAGACTGAGAGAGAGTATGTGCGTACACACACATGTATCCGATATCAGTCATTAGCAAAGAGTATGTGTGTACGCACACATGTATCCGATATCAGTCATTAGCAGCCAAGTCCTAAACTGGATAGAATATGTTGTTGCCAATAAAATAAAGGCTTCTCAGGCAGGAGGCATATTGTGAATCCCTATAACATGAAATAAAATTTCACGTGCCAGCACAAGATCCCTATTGTGGCATAGGGATGAACCATTCCTGCCTGACCAAGCCCCGAGGCAAACTTCTCACGGTGCTTGCACTTGCCATCATGTGCCCATAAACTGAAACAAGAGAAGTTCTGACTGGATATAAGGAGAATATTTTTCACCCTGAGGACAGTCAAGCACTGTGGTCCAGAGAGGTTCTGTAGTCTCTGTCCTTGGAGATTTTCAAGACCAGATGGGATAAAGCTCTGAGCAACCTGGTCTGACCTCAGGCAAACTTCTCACAGTGCTTGCACTTGCCATCATGTGCCCATAAACTGAAACAAGAGAAGTTCTGACTGGATATAAGGAGAATATTTTTCACCCTGAGGACAGTCAAGCACTGTGGTCCAGAGAGGTTCTGTAGTCTCTGTCCTTGGAGATTTTCAAGACCAGATGGGATAAAGCTCTGAGCAACCTGGTCTGACCTCAGAGCTGACCCTGCCTTGGGCAGGTTGACCTAGAGACCTCCTGAGCTTCCTTCTAACCTGTATTATCCTATGATCCTATGATCAGTGTTGGACAGAGAATTATCCAACACCATAAGCTGCAAAGCAGTGTGATTTTTTTTTAGGGACCAAAGCAAAGGTATCTTATTGCCAATATCAGTGAACCATGCACAGGTCAAAGAACACATGACTGTAAGTGTTAACTCTACTTGGCAGTGGCATAGGCTCTACACAGGCATACTAGTGACAAAATACTCAAATTTCAAAGTATTGGAGGGTGTGGCCCTTGTTTTATTTACTGTTCATACAGCACAAGGTAAATACCAGGTCATGAGTAAGACATACGTTAAGATAAAGCACTGCTAGCATTAACAGAGGAGGAGTGCGATAAAAGAATGTACGTACCAAAGGATACATTGTATGTTGCCAGTTCCTCTTCATGATTCCTTGACAAATTATAGATGATGTGAGCATAGTTGCTCACAGCTGATGCATAATCTCTACAGTCAAAAGGAAGCACAATGGAGTTGGCCAATTCAAACACCAGCCCTCCCCGTACCTGAGCTACTGTCAGATGATTCTTGAAAGTGGGATCATAAAACCTCTCCACAATTTCATAGGTTTCATAGACACTGTGGTAAACTGGATAGCTGCTATATTTTTCTACATTCTGAAACAAACAAACCCAAACAAAACCATTATTCAGCTGTGGATACTTCAGCTTTGCTTGAACACCTTTGCTGTGGGATTCAAGGCACTGTAAAGTTAAGTGTTTGGGTCACACTAATCCTATGTAGCTACTACAGACAGTCGAATGAGAAGAACTGCTCAGCGGTGGCTCTCTTAGACATCAACCTATGATGAGATGAACAGTCATTTGGAGATGCCTCTCTGCACTGACCATGTACAGAGCCTAAAGAAGGTAACTAAGAACAGACACATAACTTTTAATTGGCTAAATAAAGGTGAGATTGCCCTTCCTCTCTTTGCTTGGATCTCAACAGTCATTTCTGTTTGTGTCTTCGGATATGCCTTTTCAGAGGAAAAGACCACATTGAATAGATTGCTCCTTGAACATTTCTCAATTAGTCTCATCTCACAGTATGCTCCAGAGTCAAACCCATATTTTCCATAATACATGAACCATTTTGAATTCAAAGCTTCATAAGTTATTACAAATCATTCAAAAGTCATCATAAGCCACTCATAAGCCTTCATCAACCATAGGTAATTTTGAGCACATCCATTTACCCTGAGCAAAGTACCTTTTGTCTGACTGACACCAAGTTGACTATTCTTATTTATTAAATATTTGTGTTATAGTAGCACATAGAGTTCTAGTAATGAACTGGGACTCCACTCTGACACACTAAACTGAACTGCTCCAAAAAGCTAGCAGTCTAAATGGCTCAGTTACAGGTGATATTACTCAGGCAGTTACAGGGGAGACAAAATTACAAAGATACAGACTTACCCAATTTTTACTGTAACGTGCTCTGCCTGAAGCAATGCCAAGACGTTGAAAAAAGACTTCAAAGTCATTGCCAGAACCCAGTTTATTTATTCTTTTAACAAGAAAGAGGGAAATGCCTTGAGTGACAATACTTAAAGTATAATTTTAGTTTGCTTCCAAGTACTGTGGCAATTATTTATTCTGCAGTTGCAGTCACTACAGTCTTTCCCTAGTATGCTCTTTCTGTCAATACACCATGAATTGCCTGTGACCCCTACATTATGTGCACCTCATCAATTGCATTCTCTGAGAAGCAGAGTCATCATTCTCAGGGTCAGAGAAATGAAACTCTCAGGAGGAGAATTTAACTCACTCTTTAATCATTGAGAAGACCCAATGACCTTTCTCCTACTGAACTTCCACTATCCCAAGCTCTCAACTCAGAGAAATCACAACAGTTCCAGCATTGGTCCATGAAATAGAATCAGTCTTTGGGATTCTATAGAGAAACCCCGGTAAATTTGAAGGACAGTGTTGTAAAAACCTGCCTGGTGTGCTCCCCAGCCACCCAAACTCAGAGGCCTTCCAGGAGACTGGAAGCAAATGCAAGGGAAAGCTGCTGTTTTAGCATCTTGTGTGCCTGCCACTGGCTTGTGCATACTACCCTTATTTGTCTAAATCTCTATAAATTACATGAACATTTCACTTTTCATATATAAAGCCTCCTGTTCATGCTACAAAGGCAAGTTCACAAAACTGTGGTACAATAGTGTATCAGTTGCAATCAATAAAACACTGAAATTTATACCAGCTGAGAATCACACCATTTCTTTTAGGCGCTCAGTTTTTCAAGTGGATATTTCTTTAAACCCCACACTCTATATTGTTTATTGTTTATTTTCTTTTGTCACTGACCTGGGAACCTCTTTATATTCTCTTGATGGATTTTTTTTATACCAGCTCTCATACAGAGATTTTCCTTCAAACCCCTCATCAGGACTTGGTATCTAGAAAAAGTATATTGTAAAAAAAGACAAAGGGTACAATTTTAAATGTTACCAAGCAACAAATCTACAACCTGTCATCACGTAAAGCCTATGGCTTAGGGCAATGAATAAGTCACAGTCTTAAGTCCCTCAACCTTTCTGCATTTCCATTTTAACATTTGAAATACACAGCATTTTCCAGAGGAATAGTTTATTTGCTAAAAATAGGTAATTTGAGATGGAAGAAAAACACAGGGAAAGTAAAACATTTCAAGTCAATATATACATTCTGATATTTCTTTATGAGATTTTCAGCCATTTAAATACTCAACACAAAAATCCCTCACAAAACCAAACCCTTTTGTTTCACTTTGGCAGGAATTTCAATTTCATCTTGGCTTAATTCAAAACTGTTTCTACCTTGTTTTAGTTCACAGAAATTATTTCCATGGATGCAGCTGTAACCTTAGAAGGGCAAAGTGTACAGTACTTGGTGTTTACGTCATCATAGCTGCTACAGAGGTATACAAATCATGACCATCCTAAAGTTCATTTCCATCACTCTTTTCAGACTACCTCCCAGATTACTGTGCAGGTTAAACACTGTAGGTATTTTTTCATCTTTCCTTTTTACTGATGGGCTGCTGAGGTTTTATTATCTTTAATCTCTTAAAGATTATTAGTATCTATTTTATTATTAATATCTATATCTACTATCTAAGAATTACTCCACAATAGCGATCAAAATAAAACTAATACATTTGCTTTTTTGGTCACGAAGCTAATTATTCATAGAACAGCATTAACACTTTTTGCCACAGATTAACTTTGGATGGGATCGTGCAGGACCTGCTTCCTGATCAGCATTCTCTTCAGACATCAGCTACCAACAAGCTGTGGTTACATGCATTCATCACCCTTTGTCACTGCTTCCCAGCTCCAGGAAGGGTTACGCAACCATGTTTACTGGTATTTAGGTCAACATTTTAACGATGGCTCTTGGTACCCAAACTGAGACTCTGGTGACCTGATTTTCTGACCATTCTGAACACCTGCACTTAGCACAGGTTACCATGGGAACTGCAGGTGATCAGCTCGTCTGCAGTTCAGGACAGAAGTATCTTTATCTGGGCACCTAATTTTAACAGAGTTAAATTTTACTTGTTGTCTTTCAATTGCCAGAAAATTATTGTAATGAATTACTACATTTCCTTTACTTTTGTACCAGTCTAATGCCAGCTTCCAAGAGATAACAAATTATTGACCCTGGAAAAGACATATGACTGAATAAGTACAGCAGATAAAGACAGATATAGTAGATTCATAGAATATATACAGTAGTTGAATGTACATTATATCTATGTATATAAAACACACGCAGAAGACTAATTAAACGTTCATGCTTTAATACAGATGAACAGAAAAAAAACCAGAAATGAAAAGCCCTTAGTACCAGCCTCTAAGACCCTCTCTCAAAGCCAGGAACATCTTACATCTAAGACGGTGAGGCTATTTCCTGAGAAAGGTCCCTACCTTTCAATTTTGTGTGCCACACAAATATGTGTGAGAGCATCATGGTCAGAGCCAATGAATATCTAACAGGATACACTGAAGCTGAGCACATTGACCAAACCCGCCACATCACACTAAAAACAACACTGTAGCAAGCCTAATTTCTTCCCCTGCCTAAAGGGAGTCAGAGTCTCCCACTACCATGGGCACTCCAGCAGTTGGACTGGGCAGCCAAGTTTGTGCTTGTTTCTGTCCTCTGGCTCATGGCATTTTTTTATTCTTTTGTTCTTAGAAGGACTACTTGCACAGGAGGAGTGGAAAAATCCCCTAATCCTTAATAGCTAATAATTTAAAGGTATAAGCTTGAAATCCCTTTGCCACTCCTGGGAAAAAGCTCCAGTTACTTAGCTATTGACTTAAAAGGGGTACTGCAGTTAGAAAAAAAAGAAACATCTGACACCATATTTTATACACAGAGCCCCATCCAGTAAGTGAGCACTGAACATGCTGGCTAAAGAATTCAAGTGATATTACCTCTTTAGTCAGACTGTACACCAGTCTGTACATCAGTGGTGTGCAATCCACTCGTAGGGTGTAGTTTCCTAAAAAACAGGAAAAACTATTTATCCAAAGAAGCAAGTTCTACTCAGCCAAAACCTCATTACTTTATTTGTTAATAAGAAAGGGACTAGAGAGCTACACCCTCTACAAGGAACAAGCTGATTCTCCCTGTAGAAGGGTTCTCATCCTGTGATCTTGTCAGTGCATTTGTATTGGTTAGGATGAATTACAGCCCAGCTTTTGAATCATAAAACCATAGAATAGTTTGGGTTGGAAGGGACCTTTGAAGGTCATCTA